TTTCAAGTTAACGCATTGAATTCCGATGAGACTGAATAACTGGCATTTAAAAACTTTAGTGTCTACCAGAGAGCACATAGGGGACGCTGGAGAGACACTGACGTGTTCACCTCCTAAGAGCTGTGTCATGCAGCGACAAAGTATCGGCGAAACATGGGCCTACATTTTGAACTAGTGACTGTGCTGTCCTTAGGGTATATCGGACAACATGTGCATAGTACTGCTTGGCTTTGATATGTTATGAATAGCATGCGGCTATCCCACTAAGGATGACAGATTTCGACGCAAATATCCATATTACCTTTTGGACTGAGTTGAGTAAGTTTTATTCCGAAGGATTTACTCCATGTGAGTGCCTTAATTTCTGCGAGAGATTTAAGAATATCTTGATTTAGTGGTCTTAAAAAGGCATGCAAGCATAAGCGCCTACCCGTGGACTTAAATTTATAAATTCTTTAAAAACTGTAATAGTAAGATGTAATTAAGTAAGGTCGATATAAATCTTAAAATAACGGACTGCCTTTAAATTAGAGACCTCGAAATGTTTGCTGTCAGAGTTTCAGGCCTACCTTAAACTGTCAGAAAAATACATGAAATACTGAGTGTTTAGCGTGATTTCGTAACCTCCTACCCCTAAGATATCTCTTTGATGATAATTTGGTGAAGACGTGATCAAATCGGCCCATTGTGAAGCATAACGTGTTAGCGATTTTTACCATAGTCTTACGTCAATCGGCTAACAACTCGCCATGGCTATGGTTCGTAGTCATTACAATCTATAACGTCATTAAATGCTACTAATTTAAATACAGTAGCAATTAACACTGAGTTTTGTTTTGTGGACCGGTCACGACAGTCAAACTCGCAAGTAGACTATGACAACGGCAGTATCCAGACCAGGTCTCGAGTAGGGAGATGAGAAGTTAAGTGCCAGTAGAGGGAGAATTTTATTTTTTATATAGCAGAGGAAGAATACAGTGGGCAAGTTGGCAGCCGGAAGCGTGTCGCACACCTGGTAGCTGGTGTCCAGGAATTTCTGCGTCAGTATTGGAGCTGCTTGGCGGCTCTGGATAACTGTGATTGGTCGAATAATGTGCAAACACCCCTCAGACTCAGGGGACGGTTAGACACGGGAGCAACTACGAGACCAAGTGTCCAAATGCCAAAAGAAGGACTGCGTCTGGTTCGTAGGCGCAAATATGCGTCCGACGGAGTCACAGTGTTTA